TAGGTTCTTAAACCTGAATTCCTTTTTTAGTGAACCAGGTAGGATGATTTACTCTACTGTCTAGATTTATTCATAGCACTCTAGTGTGCTTGTCTTCTGTGTGCAGTTGATAAAGACATCAAAACTTAGCATATCTTTTATTTCACACTCTGGGGATCAGTTTATTTTCTGATGATTAAATGTAAGATACAGATGACAGTAACAATAAAGGAAACATAAGTAAATGATCCTTAGAGGCTAGATGGAAACCACTTCTGTACTTGGATTCTTCCAATACACTTATTTCTTTATTTTGTCTCCTGTGTTTCTCCACCATGGGTCATCATGATCCTCAAATCACTGCCAGCACAAGCTCACTTACAGCACTAGGGATAATTGTTCACTTCAGTTAAGTCTATAATAATCATTTTTCAGGAAAAAAAGTGTGCTTCAGATCCTCTCAGAGAACTTAACAGTGATGGTAGCTGTGTAAGGTTAGCTTGAAAAAAATCCCCAAAGAAAAAAATGAAGAGTGTGACCAAGAGTATCAGCTGAGATTACTCTGTAGGGAGGTTCTGCCACAAATATAAAGGGACTGAGAGATCTGTGGCAGAGGAACGAGCAAAGGGTATCCCTAAACACAGCAGGGACCTTTGGAATGGTGTTTAGCCAGAGTTCAAAAAGGGCAGTACCAAGCTCAGTGGTCTAACATTTTCATTCTGAAACTTCAGCCTCAGCTAGTTCATCAGCATCACAGGGAAAATGCCCTAAGTTCCAAGGGTTCTTGTGACAGAGGATTTTTCAGGTAGAAGTAGTTCTGGAATGTTTGCTCATGCATGGAGAGAAGGAAGAGGCAGGAAGAGCATGTGTTCTCCCTGCTCATGCCTTCTAAAAGCTCTTGATCCAAGTTTAGATTTTCTAAAGTAGCATCTCCCCTCCCCATTCTACATAAGACAGTGAAAACCAACTAAAATATAACATTCTAAGTGTTGATGGAAGAAAAGTTTACATTGTAAGCTAATTTGATAATAATGCCCCCATTTTTGTTATCCTAAGACTGCTCTTTCGAGTTGATGCTGTCTCTTTTATGTTTAGCATCAATAATGTCAGAATGCTGAGGAGAACAGGAGAGGTAAAGGAGTGAGAGGCTGGTAATAAAGATTAATGGTCCTGCAGTAAATATCCTGTATAGCACTTCATGATTAAATGACAACCACAAAAGAAACAACAGATATAAAGAAGAAATGTATACCAAAAGATTCTGTCATGCTAACGAGAGGAAAGCAATTAAGGATGTGCAACCAAGCAGTGTAACTTGGGCAGTTAGTGCTGGGTCACTGGCACTGTAATAACCAGGGCATCCAGACCCACAGTGCACACTGGGGAAGTTAATTCTCCCATTGGGCTGTGGGCTGCAGCAAAGGCCAAGGCAATAACCCTGTCCTGTCTCTAGTCTGCACACAACGTCTCTAGCTCTGCAATGGCCCAGTGGCTCATGGAGGCAACTTCATGTCTTCAGTGATCAGGCAGACTATAAAAGAAGAGAAAAATACACGACAGTCTTTTCCATGATTCTTGTGAATATCTTAAAATGTGAAACTATTTTCAACTTTTAAACGGATGAGGTTTTTGATATTATTTTCACCACCACACTACATCCTCCTGCCCTTTAAAGAAAAAGGGAAAAAGAGGGGTGAGGGGAGCTGCTGGAAAATGAAAGGGTGGATGACAGGGCTCCTGAGAACTGCAGATGTGTAACAGCCCCCTTCCAGAGAGGTCAACTGTCTAGCAGCACCACTGGGATTCACTGTGCACAACAAACAGTGCTGTAATGTCAGCCCACGACACAGCACACACGCGAAATGGTTCCAAACTCCAGGTAGTCAGAAATGACTCCGTTTCAAATCAGAAATTGATTTTTCGGGGGGATACCAGCCTGTTCCAAGCTTCTGCCTTCTGTAGCTGGGACAAGGAGAGGTTTGCCTCCAGCACAGCTAGGCTGTCCCAGTAGTGCCTGACAAGTGTCTTTAAGAGATGCTGTCTAACACTGCACGGGTCCCAACCAGCCACGCGTGCTATTTCTCCCCCTGCTGGTCTGCTACATGCTGTTTTTTCATTTTGCCATTTTAGTGCTGGCACACAACATACATGTGTTGGTAAGTCAACAGAAGATTACGTTAAGCCTCGAAGCATAACCACTAGACCAGTTCTGACTGGAACCTCTCAAGTGCAATGGCAGGAATAAGGAGAACCAAAGTAAAAGTTTTCCATCCCTGAAAGAGGCTATCTCAGACAGTAAGTCTTCTCAATTTCATCTTTGTCTTAGGTAGCAACGCCTAAAAGAAAGCTTTAATGTTGTTGGCCTTCAGTGGAGCTCTGTAGAATATTTGCCTTATGCCAAAGAGAAATTGTGGAGTTTCCCTTTTGAAGTTTGGAAAAATTGTTACCTCTTAATTGCCTGGAAGAGGATAAAGTGATTTCTAGATTACTGGCAATTAACCCTCAGAACACAGCAAAGCTGGCAGCAGGTGGGGAAAGCAGAGAAAGGTACATGTGAAATTTTCTCATGGAGCACACCCGTTCTCAAATAAGTAAAGCAAACGTGAGAGTTGACGCAGAGATTATGAACAGTTGTATGATATTGCGATGATAACACCACCAAGCTGACGAACACCCGAAGACCAGCTTTGGACTACAAACTGCTCAGGACAATTTTGAGATGGCTAGCTGAGATGATCCAGCCTCACAGACTACTCAAGCAAGGACTTGAGACAAGTCTTGCATTTACCCATTATGCAGAGACTGGACAATAAATGATACAGCTAACTCTCCCAGAACTTGACAATTAACCCAAAAATTTTCTTTTCAGGATCCCCTAAAGCTGCTTTTGCCCCCAGACAGCAGGAAGTAATTTTAAGAACATGATGCCCACATTCCCAAGAGGTGGGGTTGGTGATTTTTGGTCTTTCAATGGGTTATGGATGATTGTCATTGTTTAGGATGGTTGGTTACAAGTTGTTAATTGATATTTTTTTGGTCAGGAAAAAGGCTAAACAAAGGAAATTAGATTTGGGGTTCTTGTTTTTTAAAAAAGAGGATATAGGTAAGAGGTAGATTATTGAATCTACTCTGAAAAAAAGATATAGAAATGAGAATAAAGGGTAGATTATTGAATTTACTCTGAAAAGAAAAAAAGAGAATATGGATATGATAAGATAAAAAGATAGATTATTGAATCTACTTTTAAAGGCAACTACTAGTTTTAAATATTTTACATTGGATTGGATGATGAGTCTGTCAGCAATGCTAGGCCTGTAGGCCGAAGATGGATGCCCCAATGTTGCAGAGGAACCTTGGGTGACTGTCCAGACAGCCAGCTGTTTCTGTCATTTCTCACATTTTTTTGGAAGTCAGTTGCTTGCCCTTCCTGTTTACTTAGGTAATACTATTTCCTTCTCGGGTCTCTGAGGCAGTTGAAGATTAGATAGTTATAGTTTTTCTTATTAACAAATTCAGAACAGAAACTCACTAAAGAGGTGTAAAGTGTATCAGTCTGAAAGACATCAAAAGACAGTTTTCGATTGGTAATACAAGTTAGGATAGAAAGTGAATTAGGTACACCATTTTGGACTCACCAAGATAGGATAAATAATGGAGTTTTTTGTTTGAATTTGTCAAATGTTATTGAACTGGACATTGTTAATGTAATTCTTGGCTGTATATAGTGTATATACTTATGGTACTTATTATATATAGTTTTTCTTATATTTGTTATAACCTTTTATTATTCTAGACAAAAAGGGGGAAATGTGGTGGTATATTATGTACCTTAATATATTTTGCACCCTAATAAACTTATCTGGGCATCAGAGGACAGAGCCAGCCACTTGATTAGACATAGAGGCAAGACAGTGGTGGTATATACTCTTAATCCTATCACTCGGGAGGCAGAGATCCGTCTGGATCTCTGTGAGTTCAAGGCCACACTGGAAACAGAGCTAGGCATGGTGGTACATGCCTTTAATCCCAGCACTTGAGATCTCATGCCTTTGTTACCAAGTATTTGGGAAGCACACACACCTTTAATCCCAGCACTAGGAAGGAAGGAAGATGGCAGGGCACAGAAAAGTATATACGGTGTGAGTAAACAGGAAGTCTTGCTCTGGAGGCTGAGGAGTTGGTAAGGTGAAGTTGGCTGTGGCTTGTTCTGTTTCTCTGACCTTTCAGCTTTCTCCCCAATATCTGGCTCCAGGTTATTTATTTATTTATTTATCTATTTATTTATTTAATTTAATTAGCAATTCACGTTATACAGTTGATTGCTTAACATCTGTAGGACAGTTTTCCTGGTAGAAGGAGTATGTAAAAAATCAGGACCTGAGCAGGTTGTGAGCAGAGGAGGCTGTTTCCTATACATCCACAAGGAGGTTCATTCCCTTTAACCTTAAGGCTGTTGGTATAGATTGCACCAGGAGTCACCCCAGGGGCATCTTGGAAACAAAGGCCTCTTTCATTCATCATTTCAGTTATTTGTAATATTAGTAACACTTCAGAGAATGCTGCTGGCACTATTTGCTCAGACCTAGGTGATTGTGTTTAGTTACAATGTAAAGGTGCTCATGATCTCCCTTCTACATTCCCCACATTACCAGTTAATTGAAGATTACCTATTACTATGAGGCCTTACTTTTCCAGATTTATGTTCAACTCCTTATTCTGCTACTCACTTTGACAACATCATTTGGTATCTGTAACTATACTTACTGTTCAATTCAGCTTTTAAAAAGAGTGCCAAACTGGTCAGAGTGTCTCATATCGGTACTCTAAGAGAAATGACTATAGATGTGAGTTGAGAATCTAGTAGCTGTGCAACCCACAGCTTTGCAGGCATATGTTTTTCTGAAACGCTAACTCCAGCGAGCATAGTGGAAACCACCTGCTGTCCCCTGGTTTGCAGGCACCAGCCACCGTCCACCATCCTTAGCGGCTTCTCTTTCTGCTACTGCAGACACTACACTCACCTCTCTGGGGTCTGTAGGTATCGTTCTGTTGGCATAGCCCTTGGACGTCATCCGCCACATGTGACTGAAACTCAACTGTCTTCTTCTCACTCCTGTGTTGTCCACTGTTTGGAGAGTTTTGGCACTTTTTAAAGGATGATGAGGTTCCATGCAGCCATCCTTCACATTTTGACTTCAATAAACTGAAAGAGGAAGAATGAATGGACTGTGTCAGGCATAGGGGAAGACACAGATCACATGGACATATCTGAAATCAACAGGAGTTGCAGTACAATTCATGGCAGTGAGAATCTTTTCCTTATTTTAATTGATATATAATTTGATTATTATTCTGAATGTGTATTTTGTATCTTACTACAACTGTTTTGGAGAACAAACTAGTTTAATGATGTTAATCCTCAAACTGTACATTTGGAGGTACAGAAGTGAGACTCAAGCCTATTAACCTGCTAATAAAGCCAAAGAGTATGAGTAAGAATCAGAATGTCTACAGAAATAAAAAAGCAGGTTAAAGTGAGATCTGCATATCTAACATGTTTCCTAAGTACTAAAGATGAACACTGGGGATTAAGAAATCAGCATTTGTTATCTAGGGACAGCGCAACAACTGGAGGCCAAAGGAGGTTAAGTAAGCTGATAAGGAGGCATTGAAGTTAACTTTGTGGTCTGGGATAGATGACGAGAAGAAAGTGAAGCAACGAGGAATCAAAGCCTGGCAGAAAAGCAAAAAGATATGTAGGATAAATGAAAAACAAGAGAAAATTAATGCACAAAGCTTTGGTGCGGTGTATGTGAGGAATGTGAGACAGAAGGCTGCAGAGAAACAAGCAGGAACCCAAAGGCAGGGTTCTAAGGGCACTAAGGCCAAGTATTTGTGATGGAACTACAATAGGTGACAGGAGCTTGGAATATGGGCACACGCAAGTCACTTCAGAAAAGTGGAGATGTGAAGAACAGAATCTCTCTAGCTACACCAGGGATGGACCAACCACGCAGGTGTGGGAGGCTCACCAAAGGACGGCAGGAGTGTGAAACAGTCACTTCAATTGGCATGTCAATGGCCTTCTGAGATAATGATGGGAAACAATGGAAGGATGGAACATGGTGGGACACCCTGAGATTCACACAAGGAGGCAGGCTTGTAAGAAAAATGCCTGCACACTTGTCTCTGTTCTTAGCAACCTGACAGGAAAAACGGCCTTTCACAGTAGTGGTCTCAGAAAAGATGCTGATTTTAGGCACTAGTTCATAGCCTGGTAGTGAATTCAAGTTATCTGGAAAAGTTTCCCTGGGAAGAGGATGGTCTGGAGTCTCACCCTTTTAAGTGAATGGACTGCTGAGACCAGCCCCATCTCTTCCCTGCCTTTTTCCCTCTTGCTCTCTCTTCTTTTGAAAAGCTCCATAGGGCTTCTGCAATCATGGCTGTTCCTTTGGAAGACGATTTCTCCTTTTGCCCAGCATTCTAAACTCTAAAGAAAAGCCATGACTGCTTGATTAAGATGTTAACTGCTAAATAAGCTTTTCTTTTTCTTTCTCTTCTCTTCGCCCCCCCCCCCCCGCCTCCTCTTCTCATTTTTCCTTTAGATTTACAAACCCACACATCTATTGAGCTCCAGATTTCATCAGATTATGTGATGGTCTTTCTTAGTCTTTTGTGTTGTGTACATTAATACAAAGCATATAAGTTGACATGTGGCTTAACTGGCAGGGAGAGCTGTTGAAAGAACTGTAGGAGCTAGTCCTGAAGGCCAAGATCCACTCTCCTGTCTGTAGATGACACAGTCTTCCTGTTCACTGCCTTTTTATCTGCATATGAAGCCCCCTTTCATACAACTGCATTTTCTAAGATAATTTTTATGGGGAAATGAGAGATTCACTTTCCTTTTCTTACAAAGGTTTGGCCGTTGGTGTGATTTCCTTCTCATTAACTCTCACTTTTGAATAATCTTTAAAAATGTCCATAATCGAAAAAGTTATGGCAGAGAGTGGGGACAAAATTCTTGTGAAAAGTGTTTATTTCCCAAGGGGGAAAACTTTAAAAGTCCTGAAGGAAGGGGTGGGCTGTAGAGAGGAATCCCACTCCAAACATGAGGGACTGCTGAGCGGAGGAGGATAAAGAGGAACCCAAAGCAGGAAGTGCTCTCATGTCCCTGCATTCTATAAAGCAGTGGGGATCTGTGTCTATGCTCTCTACTACAGAGAATGAAAACTGACTACTGAAGACAATCTCAGGCCTACAGAGGAGTCTATTATAGATATATTTATATCCTCATGCCACTTCCAGTTGACTCTCTGCTTCATGCTTGTGCTTGAATACGTCATTCCTCAGCTTTCTGACCTGGTTGCCAGCCACCATGCCTCTCCAGCCATTATGGGCTCTCCCCATGGAACTTTCTGCTGTGGATATCATTCTGTATAAATAAAACACTGATTGGCCAGTGGCCAGGCAGGAAGTATAGGCGGGACAAGGAGAGAGGAGAATTCTGGGAAGTGGAAGGCTGAGTGGGAGAGTCACTCCCAGCCACCGCCATGACAAGCAGCATGTGAAGACACTGGTAAGCCACGAGCCACGTGGCAAGGTATAGATTTATGGAAATGGATTAATTTAAGATATAAGAATAGTTAGCAAGAAGCCTGCCACGGCCATACAGTTTGAAAGCGATATAAGTCTCTGTGTTTACTTGGTTGGGTCTGATCGGCTGTGAGACTGGTGGGTGACAGAGATTTGTCCTGACTGTGGGCAAGGCAGGAAAACTCTAGCTACAACTTTCAGCCAAAATAAACTAACTCATTTATTAAAAACTATTTATTTTTAAAAATGTCATACATGTATATAATAAAATATAATCATATTTACCTTCTACTCCTTCCCCCCTCCCTCCAACTTCCTTCACATCCTTCTAATCAGCCTTCCCCATCTTCATGTCATTTTTTGGATAACCCACTAAAGCTAGTTAGTGCCACCCATGTGTACATGGATATGTAGTCCCCTGGAGTACAGTAAATCTACCAGTGGCTGTATCTTCAGTAAAGGATAGTTCTCTCTCTCTCTCAGGACTATTCACTGCCAACAGATCCTCAGTTTGGAATGGGGTCTAGAGATCATCTACCCACTTATGCTGGGATTCTGGCTGGCTCGATATTGAGTCTATGGTGTATGTGAGTTCATTATTGTGATAGTCATGTCATCTCCAGAAGACAGTATTGTTTTTAAACAGTACTCATCCTTATCTCCCAGCTCTTACATTCTTTCTTGCCTCTTCTTCAGAATGTTCCCTGAGTGTTGGTGATGGTGGGGTCATTAATAAAGATGTCCCATTTATGGCTTAGCACTCAGTCTCTTATTCTTAGCACTTGGACTAGCTGGATCTCTCTCCATTGTACAAAGAGGCTTTACTGAACAAAGCTGAGAGCAGCCCAGGTCTTTTGGTGCTAGAAGCTGGGCTGAAATACATCTTTGACTTATGATAATTTCAATTTAAGATTGGTTTATCAGGCAATCAAGGAGTAGTTATATGATGGACATAAAACAAAATCTTAATGAATGAGCAGACAGGCAGCTTCAGGAGAGATATTTAGACTGTAATTAAAACTAGATGGAAATTTTAGAACTGAAAATTACAGTAGTTGATATAAAAATTGGAATGAAGATGAAAGCATAAATGCTAAATGAATTTTATTACAGAAGCAACAGAAATGACCTAATTTGGAAAATAGAAAAAAAAAACATTTGAAGAAAAATAGGCAGACTCTCTGGGACCTTAAAGGCAATCCAAAGCTGTCTAAGAAGGAAAAACTGAAATCTTTAAGGAGACTTCATGAGAATGGGACAGAAAAAGTAACTAAAGAAATGTGTCCTAAAAGTAATGTCAGAATATTTTCTAAACCTGGTGAAAACCTAATAGTCAAATGGAATAAAAGCAAAGATGAAGAGGATCCTTCGACTTGAGAAACGTTAGTGACACACAGAAGAATGGCATTGCATATGATGCGCTATCAGCATTACAATAGGGGTGGCCAGAATATAAGAGGGACATCTCTACAATGATGGAAGTAAACAGACAAACCTGTCACCCCCGGATTTGACTTCTCATAAAAAAGCTCCCCCCAAAAGAAGAAATTAAATTTTGTTGCCAGAACACCTGCACTCCAAGAAATAACAGGATGTTTTTCAAATCGTATGAAAATGACATCATATGGAAATTTGGAGCTATAAAGAGAAGTGAGGAGCATCAGAAATAGTCCATATGTAGATAAATATAAAAGGCTGTTATTATTTATTTTATTTCTTGAAAAGGATAGGAATACTCAAAGCCAAACTGGTACCACTATGCTGTCAGGCTTACATGTGCTGAGATATAATATATATGACAACAATATCACAAGTAACAGGGAAGTAAATGTACTGGTACAACAGATCCCACTGTCTACACAAAGCAGCACAGCGTTGCTGCTCCACAGTCATACTCTAAGTTAGGGAAGCATTCTGAATGGGTTACAGAAACTACCAAAAGGAACAGCTGGGGAGTTAACAGGAAAAGTACATTATTTTCTCCTTTAAAGGGGAGAAGAAAAAGAAGAAGAAAAAGGAGCTGGGCTTGGGGGTTCATGTCTGTAAATTCAACATTTGGGAGGGTAAGGAAGGAGGATTGTTATGAGTTTCAGTCCAGCCTATGCCACAGAGTAAGACCACATCTCCAAACACAAAAGGAATGAGCTGGTCCCTTCTTCATCTATATCAGCCTAACTTTAAATGAATTATGCACATAAATTAGCTCTTGCTCACCTACTGTGGGAAGGCTGTTTGTTTATGGGGCTGGGGACCAAACCCAGAACTCTACATAGGTAGGGGAGCTCTCCACTTGATAACCAACCATAACCGCCTACAAACGAAGAGTTAAGTTTTCTCCAACTGGGTTTACAAACCACACTTAGGGGCAGGCGCCATGTCCAGCAGTAGATGGCCAACAGAAAATGAACTCAATGGTATTTTTGGAGGGATTCTCATCTCATAATGCTTTGTCTGGGCATTTTTTTTAAACCTTACGTATTATGGTTTCCAAATTTCTTTTTATGGGTTTTCTGTGTGTGCGAATGTGTCTCTGCATCTATATGTTTCTTGTGCTTTGCCTTAGCTCTTATTGTTCTATTCATTTTCTATTCATATATCAGAATATATTGT